CGGCTGGCCACGCAAGCACGCTCCTGGGAATGAGCTTGGGGGATGGCACGCCCTTGTGCCCAGGCCAGGTGGACGCCAGTCTAGACATCTTCCTTGACGGCCTGCAGAGGGTCAAGGGTCACCGCACCGTTCAAAGCCTGCAGGAGCTGGCCAGCATGATCCTCGAGGTTTCGGAGATGGGCTACGCGCTTCTAGATGCTCTGCGCCAGATTCCTGTTTTGGCTGCAGCCGCCCAGGAAGGAGGCAAGTACCAGCATTTGCCACTTGTCGGGGTCGTCTTCCGAGGCCTCAATGAAGTGGGCAGCAGGTTGAGCCACATATGGAAAGCATCCTTTGAACAACCGGCACAGCGTCTCGACGCAAACATATTGGAACCAGCTTCAAAGTTGGGAAATGCCATCCATACCTTGATGACGCAGGCGCTCCACAGCCTTGATGCTGTGGGCCTTGCATTGAGCAATTTGCTGAGGCCGCCTAGCAGGGTTTTCCAGGACATTGCCAAGCAGCTGAACATCTGCGAGTTGTTGAAAACAGCCCTTCCGCTGCCAGAGACCGTCGGCTTTCTGCTGCAAATCCTGGAGCCCGGTGGCGTTCCTGTATACTCACTTTGGCCTTCGAATCCCTTCGACGGTGTGTCTCGCTTTGTGCATGGGGCTGCTGCAAATGTGAAGCGACGCTTTGAGTTTGTTCTCCGGCAGCTGCAAGCGTTGATGGACCTCATGGAGAGAGAGCACAAATTGTGCGCCTTTGGGTACTGCTACCGCATCACGACCACGCAGCTCCTGCAAAAGTCTACAAGCATGAAAGACAAATTCGGGTTTGTTCTTGATAAACTGCAGCATGAGTTGCATCCCCTTCGCAATGTGAAGGCCATGATTTTCAAGGCTCTCGATGGACTTACTGCAGATTTTCTGTCACCCACAAGTGTTGACTTTTTGCCAAGTGCACGCCGCTTGGCTGCCCAGGCAGCATCAACGCCCAGCTGGAACAACTTGCCTGATATTGCTTCTGTAGCCAGGAGGTTTCAATCGCCGGACCTGGTGGACGCAGTGGCGACTGAGCAAGCAACAGCCTTGCAAGGCTGTGTCTTCCCAGACACTGGTCTCGCAGACGAGAATAGCAGAGCTGTCCATGAATGTGATGACAGGCGCCTTGTGCACTGGGAGGCGCAGTGTGATGCGCAGTGCTTTGCTTGCGAAGCATGTGCGCGATGGTTTATTACGCTGGATGAGACTGGCGGCAAGACTTGTAATTTGCGGTCGGCAGATGCTGGCTACGTCGCGCAACCAGGTGCGATGCTTGGTTTAGGGAGGATGTGTGACAAGCAGGGCCAGGAAAGCATACTGTGGGAAAAAACCGGCTTGAGCAACCGATGCGCTGGGATGTTTGAGAGCGGAGTTCAGTCAGAGCGTGAGTGCGTGCTCTTCTGCGGCCACGATTCTGCATGCGAAGTCTACCAGTTCCGCAACGGTGTTTGCCTGCTTGGGCAATCCCGCAGATGCAGCGGCGATTCCGGTTGGGTAGGAGGTCGCAAGAAGATGTCAGCTGGTCAAGAGATGAAAGAGGCTTGCGGCAACTTTGATTTGGCATCAGACCTCCAGAATTCAGGGCAGGCCCAGCTGGAACCGACACTTCAGTCAGCAGTGGACATGTCGCAAAGCACGTGTTTCCAAGCTGTGTGTGACCTGGCCTCAGCCGACATGGATTGCAGCGACAATGCACGTCGTCACATGGACAGAACCCTCAAGGATCACTGTGAGGCGATCCCGCACTGGCAGGTAGGTCCCTGGGGTGTCTGTGGTCAAACAAGCTCGATCGTGGGTTACTTTCATGCGGGTTGCGGGATGGACTCGATTCGATCCAGGACTGTGGCATGTTCCCACCCCGAAAGCGCTAGGTGTCAAGCTCTTGCACCGGAACCTCCCTCCGTGCAGCCCTGTGTTGTCACAGGAAACTGCAGGTGGTCAACTGATTCACTTTGGGGAAGTTGTGAAGGAGCGACTTGCGAGACCGCTGGTACGAAGGTGCGTGGCGTTGGCTGCAACGGACCAGAAAGTGCTTGTGCAGCCAAAGGAGAGAAGCCGGCTTCCATCAGTACTTGCTTTGCAGACGGCTGTGATGCTGCTGATCCTTGTGTGGCTCGGCGCTTGCATGCAGAGTGGGGTGGACTGTCTAGCATGCCTGATGTTTCATCACCGCCCTTCCAAGAAGTTCTGGTCCTCAACCATTCATGGCACACCACGAGGCGTCTAGAAGAGCTTTCAGAGCAGAAGATTGCACTGTCTGCGCAAGAGTGCATGGATTTGAGCGCAAGGGCTGGCTACTGCACCATGGTGCACATGAGTGAGGGGGGTCCTGCTGGTATCGACTTTCAGATGACAACATGCATGAGCCAGCAGCTGGATACGATTTTGGCAGAAGTCCGGAATGTTGACAGCAAAGTGGACGAGCTCACAGGCATCATGACAGACGGTTTCAGCAGGATCAACAGCGAAATTGACCAGCAGACCGAGGCTCTGACAGGCGCCAGAGAACGCATTCACGCTTGGTTTCGGGCTCACTGTGCCATGAGATTCAATTTATGGTGTCAGACTGCTGCAGCATGCGTAAGGTTTTCTGGCATAAGTTTTCCGAACCTGTTATCATGACCATGCAGCGGTAGGCGCAGGTTGTGAATTTGCTGCCATAGTCAACTTCCCAACTTCTCATCAGTTGTTCTCTGATTCAAGACGCAAAACTCCGCACAAGGCCCTTTCAAACAAGCTAGCAGCTAGCGTTATGACCCACAGGATGCCTATCCACCACGTATCACTGTGCATGTTTGCAGCGGACAAAAATGCACTGGGGCTCGCGGCTGCAAGTTGAGAGGTTTGGGGGGGGGGGGGGTCCAGGTAGCCTTAGACGCACAAGCTGTGGCCGCATGTCTCTGTGCATTTTGGCAGCGGGCAATGCGCGGGGCCCGCTTGTGCAAGTCGGGAGGTTGGCGGGGGGGAGGGGTCGGGGGTTTGTTGGAGGTCTCAACGGTGAACACTCGAAGTTTCGTAGGATGCAGACGGGCAACGTGACTGACACATACACACACACACACACACACACACACACACACACACACACACACACACACACACACACACACACACACACACACACCACAACACACACCCACACACACACAAACACACACCACACACACACAACACACACACCACACACACAACACCAGCACACACACACACACACACACAACACAAACACACCACCACACACACACACACACACACACCACACACACACACACACACACACACACCACACACACACAACACACACACACACACACACAACACACACAAACACACACCACACACACCCACCACACACACACACACACACCAAACACACACACACACACACACAAACACACACACACCAAACACAAACAACCACACACACACACACACACACACACACACACACCACAACACACACACACACACACACACACACACACACACACAACACACACACACACACCACACCACACACACACACACACACACACACACACACACACACACACACACACACACACACACACACACACACACACACACACACACACACACACACACACACTGTGGACCCCCCCCTACAAACAGTGTCCATGATGCAGTGCCTAGGGTTCCGAGTCCCCTTATGATTCCAAAGCTTTGGCAAAAAACTTAACGAGGCCAGGGCATAGAAATCCAGAGCCCCCCTTCCCTTACTCCTTCCCTCCCCCTTTCTCTTCTCACTCCCTTTCCATCCCATCCTCTGACGCCATGACCAAATAGCTCGTGCCAGCCTAGTTCCTTTCCCGCATACAGTGGCCAGCTAGCAACGAGACGTAATTGCCATTTATTTTCATCTTGTCACAGGGCAATTTCCTTTGACAAACGCGTGCCCCATACGGCGCTAAAGGCCTGGATTTGACATCGCTCTCTACTTCCCCCATTTCCCGGTTGGTTCTTCCGATTATGTGTGTCCGGGCCTGGGCAGCTGCGCTACTAGCCACACCACTCTGAGCTGCGCCTCCAGACATCTCATATGCGATTGCTGCAGCGACTGCTACCAGTGGATTTGCTTTCCCATTGGCCCATCGTACTTTCCCTTGTCTTTTCCCCCTTCCGTGGACCCTGAAGGTTGGGCTGGTTCGCATTGTCCGCATTTTGGGGCCGCAGTCCTGACTCCCCCTTGGGAAGCCCCTTCCGAACAGCTTTGTTGCCATTGCCCTCCCTGAGAACCTTTGGCCGATTACAAGTCTCCGACTTGTGGCCCTGGCGCCACGGTTGGAGGGCCTTGGCTTTGTCATGCACCGCAGAATGCCGCAGAACACGCGAGTTTGATCCCCAGAGGCCTTTGGACTTCCCCTCTGGAGTTGCGCTGTCTGTTTGGGGCTTTGGAGGGCTCAACTTGAACATCTCGACAACGCCATAGCCTCTATCTCCGCCTGTAGCAGCCGATCGTAAGCTGTTGGGGTAGCGACCGTAGAGTAGATTTCCAATTCATGTTGAGTCCGAGAAATGCTAGAAGCCTGCGCGTGCGCCGACGGGTTCGATTCATATGGTTGAACGGTCCTTGCCATACATCTTGCTTACAAGGTCATGAAATCAAATCAACGCAGGGTGGGGTTGGGGGTTGGGGGGGGGGGGGGGGGGTTTTTTGGGGGGCGGGCGGGGCAAGGTGGGGGGGGGGGGGGGAGCCTCAAAAAATGACAGTGCCGAATCCAACAAGAGGGCCACATCTTTTGTTTGTGCGTAGACTGGCTCGGCAAGCAGCAGCAGGACAAACAGGGAAGGCCTGACAATTGAGTGTTGAAAAGTAGCCTTCGCTCTGGCGGACTAGCTTTTCAGAGCGACTGGGGGCGGGCATGACAAAGTCAGCGCGTTCAGCGCGCCCCGGTTGTTTATGACCAGCACGAGTCAGCCTAGTTCCCGTGCCGCCACGACCTGACAGGTGCTATGAAACAGCTCGCGAAGGAGTCTGTCGACGAAATGAAGGCACATCAGTTTTCCATGGGTCGCCGGATAGCTCATGAGATGAAGGAACGGCACACGGTCACCAAACAGTACATCGCATGCCACTCAAAAGCGAACCGACAAGCTGTTCTGGACAGCCTTGACCGCATGATGCAGCAACTTGGCAACCAGTTTGCTTCCGTAGAAGCTGACATGCTCGAAGGTTTTGACAACGTGTCGCTCCGTTTGAGTGAGCTGGAGAACCGCCTCAACGCAGGCTTGAGCGAAGCCGCGGTAAATGCCATGCAGAAGATAGACTCACTTCTGCGGGAGAGCGAAGTCCAACAGCAGACGTTTTTGTTGGAAGCCTTGTCATCTGCAGTTTCGAACATTGATCAGAAACTTCAAGAACAGACAGCCGACATTGCCGAAATTGTGCATCTCGAGGTGGGGGCAGCCTTAGCAAGCATGGCCGAATCGCAGCGCGAGAGCACTAATGACGTCGTCGCAGCCCTTGGCGACACAAGCAATGTCATCTCTTCAAGGGTTGACGACATCAGTGGTAGCGTCCTAGACATTTTGCAGACTCAGCAGGCGGATTGGCCCGACATGCTGAGCAGGCTGTCCACCACCATCTCGCGGGAGCTGGTCGCCCAGGCGGATGCAGCGGAGGTCCGCGCAGCCAGCCGCTCGGAGCAGCTGGAGCAGCTTCTGGCATCTGCGATAGAGAGCTCTTCCTCCGAGAACAGGGCCTTGCTTCAGAGCCTCCGATCTGAAGTGGTCAAAGGTCGAGCAACGGCCATCACAGCAGTCCAGGAGGTTGTGAACAACTTCCGCTCAGAGGTCTTGCAGGCAATTGCTACTCCGATGGAGCTGGTGCTCCGCAGTACCGACAGCATCCAGGAAGGAATGGCACAGGGCTTTGCGGACATCGCTTCAGATATGGACACCATGTCAGCCGAGGTCCAGCAAAACCAGCAAGCCTTGCTTGCTCTCGTGACGCAGTCCGAAGGGGCGATGGTGAAGCTAGATGGAATACAGCAAGGTATTGCCGCACTTAGTGCAGAAGTCGCTCGTCTGAACGCGGACGTGCTGGAAGGCCAGAGGCGCTTGACAGAGGCAGTATCCGTCCTGAACGCCCGCTTTGACACGTTGTCTCACCTGGTCGAGGACATCTTGCGCAAGCAGAAGGACTTTCACCTCAGCGAGATGTTGGAGCGCTTCAGGACCTCGTCAATTTTGATTGACGGAGCATTCCTAGACTTCGCTCAGGTCTGGCTGCCCAACATGACTGAGCAGGCCCGTGCTGTGAAGCATTCCCTTAATGATTATGTCGATTGCAAGGTGGGCAGAAAAGCGTTTGCGGGAAAGCTTCGACAGGAGCTGAACACAAAGGCATATCTCCTGAGCCAGCTGCAGGGTCACTGGAGCACAGCGCGTGACCAGTTTGCCACGCTCGCCAGCATCCTCGTCGAGAGCCAGCTGCTGAAATTGCATTTCGAGTCGGCGGCCCTGCTTGTGACACAGGAGGAGATGAAGGCTCTCCATCGCCAGCTTGCGCCTGTGCCTTCAGAGTTCTGCAGCGTGCTGCTTGGCCCAGCTGCTGCGAAAGCAATTCGCTCGCTGATCTTGCAGAAGCTGCAGCAGCCCTTGTCCCTTGCTCGGCGCGTCAGTTCAATCTGGAAGCAGGTGTTAAGCATGGCCAGCGAGCAGCAGAGCATGGGCCGAACCGTAGGGACCGCTGACCTGGAGTATGTGCGCACGGCCTATGTTGCCGTACTGAAGGATCTCATGCGCCTTCGTGACAGGGTCATCGATCCCACTGACAGCATCATGCGGCAGTTTCACGTGCAAATTCTGGATGTTCACCTGCCTCAGCTGTGTCCTGCCCCTCCGGCCTGCGTGTCCCAAGTCTTCATACAGCACCAGGAAGCCCGCACAAACGAGCTCGTCGCCTGGCGGAGAGAGCAGGGGTCTCTGACCGTGGTCAGGCGGCCATCAAATCTGCTCAAGCTGCAGGGCATGTTTGCCTGGAACGTGGATGCAGCAGACGAGTCAACATTTCCAGCGCAGCTCCCGCCGGAATTTGCGCAATCCGTATACCTTTGCGAAGGCACAGGCGCGGACCTCCGTGCCCACAGGGCTGCGGATGCAACGAATGCCAATGCGTCCATCCTCGCTGAGGCCTTCCGCTTCTGCGGCCTTCCCTTTTCGTCCATTGACAGCTCCGAGCCCCGCTGCAGTTCGAGCAGCTATGGCGCCTTCCCTGTTGACAGCTGGACGCCTGGCAGTGGAGTCAAAGACGATCTTTTCTTGCAGTGGGAGCTGGAAGCCCAAGAAGAAGGCCTTACGGGTGCGGCGGCTGTTTGCGGAAATGGCCAGGCGGAGTTCGGAGAGGCACAGATTGCACACGCTTGTTTTGCAAGGCCTTGATGTATGTTCTGATTGGGCTACTGCTGCTAAAGTTCTGATATAAAGTATAAGCTGTTGCTAGTAAGCAAGTAAAGAGGATGTGTTGGAAAGCGTCTGAACTAAATAGCCAAATAGCCAGCCTGATGAGTTGAGGCCTGCGACGAGGGAGGCCTATCGACGGGTGGCTGTCTCGAGTGCAAAGCCGTTGCCGAAGGCTGGGAGTGTCCCACTGCGGGCCCATGCCAGGCACGCTGTGGTGATGGGCTGGTGTTCCCCAGCGTGGAGGAGTGTGATGACGGTGGCCTCCTCTTGGGCTGCACATCTGCCTGCAAGCTAGCGGAATGCCAAAGAGTTGAGGCAGCAGCCCGACCGCTTGGAGAGGAAGACATGGAGATGGAGACGTTGTGGATGGAAGCCTACCGCATGCCTTCCCCGCCATCCTCCGATCTGCTCGCCATGCAAGGCTACAAGCTGTGCTTCAACTTCTCCGGTCCCGACAGTTCCGTCCCCAGAAGTGCCTTTGCAGGCTGTGCTGGAGCAAGTCGCCTCACCTTCGTTGTTGCCGGACGCAATGGCAGTGATGCCGACATGCCAGAAGTTTATTGGGACCGCATTGATGTGGACTTTGGCTCCGAAGTCTTCGATGCAGAGCCAGGAACAGTGCGCAGTTCTGGGCCTCATCAGCTTCGTGTGCGCCAGCATGGAGATGGCGAACTCGGTGACCACGAGCTCATCTTGAGCTGCCGAGTTGGGTTTGAGGTTTGGGATGCTTGCGTCTTGTGGGCTGTTCGGGAGGGTAGCCCAGGGTCAGCCAGGACCAGGCATGGTGAAAGCACAGGAGCAGAAGCCAGGTTTTTGATTTATACGGCGCCCGAGAATGCAGATTGGAGATGTGACCAGCGCAGTGTTCCTCACTGCGGCGACGGCCGCTTGACTGGGCAGGAGGACTGCGATGACGGGAACAAAGATGACGCCGATGGGTGCTCCGAGAGATGTACCGTCGAATCTGGCTTCCTCTGCCCGTTGCCTGGGCTGCCTTGCTATAAGGCAGTTTGCGGCGATGGCGTCGCAGGACCGAGGCATGCTTGGCATAAGGCAGCATCATGACATGTGCAGCAGGAGATTCGTGTGCTGGTGGACAGCTGTTCGGTGCCTTCTCAAGCTTGCCGAAAGTACGCGCATGATAAATGCAAAATTTCTGGGGCTGGGAATATGAAAGCATTCTTGTCTTTAACTGAATCATGTTCGACTTTAAACAAGTCCGAGCCTTGCAAGTGCATCTGTCAGCCTGAATGCCCCTGACTAGCTGTTTCGGAGCCGGCGACTGTGCTGTAACTAACTCTCCATTTGTCAAGGTCTTCCAGCCTTCTCCCCTAGAGTCATGATGAGGCAAAGGTACCAGGTGGTGCTATACCACTACTGCCAGGACCATGGCCGACGCTCTGCGACACCGTCAGTGATGGCTGCGACCGCTGTGTGGTAAGGGACACATATTTATGCCGTGCAATGTGCGACGTGAGGATAGTTTCATCAGCAGAGGACTTTGAAGGCTTCTTTACTGCGGAAAGCTATGATTGCTGCAAGCAGGGTCCCCGCCCGACAGACTTTGCATGTACCTTGGGTGTGCCATGTGCAGTGAAGCTGAAAGCCGTTTCCGAAAACTTCACGTCTGAGCTGCTTATTTCTCTGGTCGGTAGTACTCCATGTGGTGATGCAACCCAAGCGGCTGCGATTTCAGGTCTTCAAAACCCGTCGAGGTCAGTCACGGGATGCGGTGTCTCCTGTCCAGCAGGCAATGAGGCGACCTACAACTTTGGCACTCCGCTCACTGGAAATCCTGGAGTTTACAGAGCCTGCTGGGGTCCTTGGCCCGAAGCTCCCTGGGCTTCAGGTACATTGCTGCTGCTCGGATGTCGAGGAATACTTTTTTTTTTTGTTTCCAAGGCGCATGGCGTTTAGGGCCATGACCGTGTGTTAGCACTTGACCTTTGGCTAATCAGTCCCTCACAGCCGGCTCAAAACCTCACAGCCTGGCACCCAGGCCAAGTAGCAGCAGAACTGTGATGCACATATCTTTTCCAAGCCTGCGGCAACAGCTTTCCAACAATGCAGGTTGCGCGGCCACGGCGCCCGATGGCTGCAGCCTCAGGCCGTGGCCTTTGCCTACGAGGTGGGGGTGATGGAGCTCAAAGGCCCAGAGCAAGATCAAGCGTTCCAGTGCACTTTGGGTGTGGAGTGCGTAATCGAGGTGGAAGGACATGGGTTGGGACAGGGCAGCGTGCTTCTGCTGGGAAGGGAGAGCTGTCCGCTCGCCTGGCGCAGCCTAGCTCAGCTGGGTGCCGCCCAGCTGCGGGTGAGCAGCAGTGGTGCAAGTTCTGGGGACGAGTGCTTCTTTTACATGAAGCCCTTGGAGTCAGACGGGTCACACGACGAGGCCGAGGTGGAATTGATGACGGGGTCCGGCGGCGTGCATGCAATTATCTTTTCAGGCCACGTCCTCCAAAACACGGCTCGGTCCTACTCGGCTGCGCTGGATGCACTGACGCCCTACGAGCTAGCAGCTGCCATTCATGCGCAGCCGCCGGGCACGCTGGTTGCCGTGGCTGTGGCGGGCAACGCTCAGGACACCTTCCGAGACGAGAAGTTCCTTTCAGCTTTGGAATATATAGGTGCTAAGTCACCACGCGCTTTCGTTTCCGGAGACTCCTATGCCTTGGTCGGGTTGGCAGCCGGCCCAGCTTTGGCAGAGAGCTTGGAACCCAGCAACGACACGAGCCTCCAAGTCTTCGTGCCCAGTCCATTGCCGCAGCGGCAGGTGAATGAGATTGGGGCCACCTCTTTAGGCACTCTTGTGCAGGGGGGCGGCGCAGACTATCCACTTTGCTGGAGCTGGCAGGGTGTCGGCGACTTGGTGCACATCGGAAGCTTGCAGGTCTTGGGACCGGGTCCTGACCGGCAACAGTGGCAATGCATGGCTGGTGAACCTTGTTTTTTGGAGCTCACTGGTTCAGGCTTGACGCTGAGCAGCAGCCTTGTGATTGGCAGGCACGGCTCCTTAAGCTGCGAAATGGACTCCGACGAAGCGGAGAATGGCTTGCAGCTCGAGACTTTCCCAGAAATTGCAGGCACCGATGGGGCGTCAGCCAAGTACCACATTGGCACCACTACACGCCGTACGGCGCCTCACTTCTCCATTTGCTGGCGCGTGTCGCCATCGGCCGTTCCGGTGGTCATTGGCGCTCTCCTCATCTCGGAGACCTCCTGTGCATTGACCTCCGAATCGCAAGATAGGTCTTTGGTGCACAACTGCTCGGACATGAGGTTTCTGGACACTTGCACGATCCAGTGCGCCTCGGGTTGGTCCTACTTTGGCCCATCCGCAAGCATGACCTGCCGTGCTAAAGGTGAACTGGATGGCCGACTCCCTCAGTGCACCAAGGTCTCGTGCCCCCTGCACTCTGTGGAGACGGTGGAAGGCTGTGATTGCATCCAAGGCTACTCCGGCACCGTCACCTGGAATTCACCGTCGCAGACTTATTTAACAAGCTGCCAGGAGTGTGCTGGCTGCGGTGTGGGACAGTATCGGTCTGAGTGCGGAGGCTCGACACCGGGCGAATGCCGCAACTGCACGAATGCCGGGCCTGGGTACTACTATGTGTCAGATGGTGGTGCACAGCCACATGGCTGCCAAACGCAGCCCTGCGTCCAATGCCCTACCGGACGTTACCCACGTGGGTGTGGGGGCAACTACCCAGGCAGGTGCCAGGAGTGCGTGAACATGCCAAACGCCACTCCCTCCACGCATTACTTCTCTTCATCGGGTACCGTGGATGGCATCTGCGAGCTGCAGGACTGTGCGCCGGATTGCGGCGTCGGCCAGTATCGTGCGCTCTGCGGGGGTGTCAACCCTGGGTATTGCCGCGCCTGCTCTCCGCCTGCGCCGGGCCAGTACCTTGCAAGCTCTGGTGGCTTGGAGGATGCCTGCCTTACGCAATCCTGCGGCGGCTGTGAGGTTGGTTTCTTCCGTGATGGTTGTGATATGGCCAGCCTGGGTACGTGCGCACCCTGCACAAATGGACCGCGCTACGGCTTCTTCTACAATTCGTCCAGCATTTTTCCGAATGACTGCGAGTACCTTCAATGTGGCGAGTGCCCTGTCGGGCAGTACCGTGCCAACTGCGGTGGTGCCAGTGACGGCTTCTGCCTACCTTGTACTAAGATTCCCAACACATATTTTGTTGGCAGCGGTGGGCTTGTGGATGCTTGCCCTTCGCGACCGTGTGCAGCAGATGAGGAAGAGTGCGAGGTTGGAATGTACAGACAAGGCTGCGGGTCGTTTGAAAACCCTTCCTCGCCTGGCACATGCGCCAACTGCAGTGAGCACAAGCAAAGCTATTTCTTTGTCACCAATGGAGGCACAAGCAGCCGAGGTTGCAGTGAGGAACCGTGCCAGCGCTGCTCGGCCGGCTGGGTCCGGATCGGGTGCGAGGGTGCCTCACAGGGCACCTGCGAGCGCTGCGACTACGAAGAGGGTTACTACTTCACTGGAGATGGAGGTTTTGGCGAGCAAGGCCTGACGTGTCCACGCAGACTTTGTGTGCTATCTTCGTCTGCATGCTTCGCTGGCTACTACTTGAGCAGCTGCGGATCCGATGCGGACCACGTGAACCCGGGCACCTGTACAGAATGTCCACCTGGGAGGTTCCAGGACGAGGTGAACCAAGACCACTGCAAGGAGGCACCAGCAGGAACCTTTGCTACACAGGCAGCTCAGAATTACACAGAGTGCCAAATTGGACACTACCAAGACCAGGCACAGGGGCTCTTACTTGCTCGGGCTTGGGGCTCATGAGCTGTTCTGACACGATGTCTGCTGCGTCTGCTGCTGCTTGGGTTTCCTTGTCCTAGTGTCCTAGTGCTATGCAGTCCTTGCTAGGCCGGGCAAAGCCAGTGCGAGAAGTGTGCCGGTGGCGGGTCCCGCAGGCGTCGGGCAGAGGGCTGTACAAGCTGTGACCCTGGATGGTTCAACGAGGGCACGCAGGATGACTGTCTCCAGTGCAAGGGCGGCTACGTTCACAAAGTCGATGGCGTGCGCCTTGAGTGCTGGCAATGTCCACAGGGAAAGTACGACGATGGGGATGCAGATGATTGTAAAACTTGTCACGGAGGAGACGTGCGAAGGCGTGTTGCAGCAGCTGAAGCAAGCCGGACCTTTGAGACCGGCGCCGTGCAGTGTACTCCGTGCTTGAGTGGCAAGTGGAATCCAAACTCGGGTATTGTTGCCTTGACTGATTCGTGTGATCTGTGCATCGGACAGGTGGTCAGGGATGCTTCGAATATGGCGACTCAATGTGAAAACTGTCCTGCTGGCTTCCACAACTCCGTCAATGACATAGATGGCTGTGATCCTTGTGCCCAGAGAGGAGGGCAGGTTCAGTT